TTTTAATTACATTTCATTTGAAATTGTTCAATTTTGTTTTCTTCCTTTTTAAATCACAAGACTGGGCCATCATGACCTGCTGCCAGACGAAGGGGATGGTGTCTGTATACCTGTAAAGCCCTCAGAGTGAGGACCATTTTTCCAATTTCACCATCAAATTGAGGAACAGTTGTTGGAAAGTGAGGAAATTTTGCCGGTCATCAAATGCTATTTTGCTAATGGTTAGGTTTAGGGTTAAAGTGTCAATTTGTTAAAGTTAGGGTGAGGTATGCATTGGTAATGGTTAGTTCTAGCGTTAGGGCATAGAAAGGAGTGAAAATGACTGATAATCAATGGATGTCAACACATGGTCCTCACTACGATTGCAGAACAAGTATATGTGTGTGTCTCATTGTGCGCATGCGCAGTGATAGAATAACAAGGAAGTTTTCTCTCAATGTAAACACTGCGGATGGGACAGTACTGAGGAGGAGTATTCCGAGTTTAACAGTGTTAAATCTACCTCATATAAAGGTAAGAGAGTCCGTAAAAGAACAGACGAGGACATTTTTTTTAACGAAAGCAGTCGCGTTTGTCCATTTGTATCCTCTGCTTTTTTTAACCTGCGTAACTTCGTGGAGGCTAATGCTGCAGCTAATTAGGGGGCTTAAACGGTGTGAACCCGAACGACTAAGATAAGATAAACTTTGTACTGAGGGAATCACCATTTAGACACATACTTTTATAATTATGGCGGATTTGTAGAGCTTTAAATGTGTTAGACATTTTGAAAAATATTCCTGATTAAATATCAGGAGGTGGTCCTAACGTTATAAGAAAAAAAAAAAAAACTTTATTATTAGAGTCGACACTTTCGACAAATTATTCCTATTAAAATCCTAAACGGTGCAACTACATCCTTCTCTTACTATCTCCCCCTCAAAGCTATATTTATGAATAAAACCCAAAATAACTAGCGATACTTACTACACAACATTGTGTTTATACTGTTATGATTATTTGACCAAGAGTTCGACTGTGTTTCCAAGAACCGGTTTAAACTCGCTTCTGGTGACATCACAGATGGTGAAACACAGCTAATACACCTATGGATAAATACATTAAAACCTTATATCAATGCATAAGAAAATGAAAATAGATAAAAGATAGCCACAGTTCTAAACATTTAGTGTGGATTTTTTTTTTATGCCTTACAAAACCACAAGGAATACTGATGCCTTAATGGTTATCTAACAGAGAATTACAGACTCCCTGAGTGTTCTCAAAGTGCTCAGGCCTGCTTATAAATATAGTGTTTAGAGGACAGATATAAGTGGCAGAAGAAGTGCAAAAGAAACAGTCATTATCAAGGCCAATCCCAACATTTCTTGCTGATATTTTTTTGGCTGATATTTCTTGGTTTTCCTCATTTACATGATATGAATGACACAATTATTGCGAATGTTACACATGCCTCAATTAAAACAAAATTATATATTATCCATCCATCCATCTTCTTTCGCTTATCCGGGGTCGGGTCACGGGGGTAGCAGCTTCAGTAGGGAGGCCCAGACGTCCCTCTCCCCTGCCACTTGGGACAGCTCCTCCGGGGGAATCTCAAGGTGCTCCCAGGCCAGCTGTGAAACATAGTCCCTCCAGCTTGTCCTGGGTCTCCCCCTGGGCCGCCTCCCGGTGGGATGTGCCTAGAACACCTCACCATTGAGGCATCTAGGAGGCATCCTAATCAGATGTCCGAGCCGCCTCAACTGGCTCCTTTCGACGTGGAGGAGCAGTGGCTCTACTCTGAGTCCTCCCCAGATGACTGAGCTCCTCACCCTATCTCTAAGGGAGAGCCCAGACACACTACGGAGAAAACTCATTTCAGCCGCTTGTATCCGGGATCTCGTTCTTTCGGTCATGACCCAAAGCTCATGACCATAGATGAGAGCAGGAACGTAGATCGACCGGTAAATCGAGAGCTTTGCTTTTTGGCTTAGCTCTTTGTTTACC